AGGCAGGGGGGCTGTATGGTTCTCAGGATGGGGGGGCTGTGCGGCTCCCAGGGGGGGCCTTCAGGCTCCCGGGGGGGCTGGGGAAGGTTTTTTTGCTCTCAGGAGTGGAGAGGGAAAGGCTGTGCGGCTCTCACGTGGGATCAGAACGTCCCGGATCGCCTCTGTAGTCGGGCCGGTCACAAAGCGATCCGGAACGGTCGGATCTATTTCCATTGGTGGTCCCTGAACCTAGGCTCGCGTGCCAGCAGAAAGGTTGTAAAGTATGCCTAAGGCCTCATTCTTTTAGAATGTCCACTCCTAGGCAAAGTAGCAAAGGTGCCAAATTGTTTCCATTTTCAAATTTGTGCCTGGCCAGAAAAGCTCATAAAGGTCTAAGTCTAAGGTCTAACATGACTTCTTATGAGCTTTAACCACTTCCCACCCACAGTCCCTTTGTCCTGATGTCCATGATGTCCTGTGCTGAGGATATGACAATATATATTGACCCTTTAAGAGAAAGCATCCGAGACATTGAACAGCTACTAGCTCTCAAAGCCAACTGTTACTGACAGTTTATGTGTTGACTAGGGCAACTATAACATAGTGATCACATGCAGGCTGCAAGCTTCACTGACAAAATAAGCCTTCAGCCAGCAAAAGGCAATAAAGATGCCATGGCAGCCGGACAGTGGCAGTAGTGTGTATCTTTTTAACACTATAATTGTCAGATATAATTAAGGTATTTTAAAAAATATATATATATATTAAGGGGGTTATTCCCCGAGTGAATAACTGAGCCGAAGTGAACCAAACAACGTTCGGCTATTCACTACGGCTGAAATCAGTCGTACATCGGCTGCCTTCGGCTACACTTTGCTCAGCCGAACATGCTCTGAGCCGAAGTGCAGAAAGACTTCGACTCAGCTGATCCAACATCTGTATCGACTGAGCCGAAGCTCCTGCAGCTTACCCGCTGCCGTTCTCCCCTATTCACATAGCGGCCAAATGGCAGTGAGTGAATAGCCGAATGCCGCCGAGTTTGGAATGCCGCCCAGCTGTCATTTGCGGGGCTTACGGCCAGCACTTCGGCAAGCCGTTCACCAGTCGAGGCGAAGCATAAGCCTGCGGCTCGGCTGAGCTGCATGACCGCCTTTGGCTGCTGTACGGGCTACAGTGAATAGCCCGTACAGCAGCCCTTCGGTTCGACTGAACCGAAGGCTCCGGCGGCCGAAGAGAGCCGAAGGATCAGCTGAAGCTACATCTGAATCCTTCGGCTTCTTTGTTAATAACCCCTTAAATCTCTAGTAAGTTTTCCAGTTGCTGAAAAGCCAATGGGGCTCACCTTGCAGCTTTCCAAAACTGTGATCATTAGCATAGCCTTGAAGGCTATGTCTGGTCCCTGCTGAGAGGCAGAAGCAGGTGTCCTATGTGCACTATAGGTGCTCTTCCAGACAGCTTTGGGGTACTGTGTCATGAAGTCACACAGTGCTTTATAGATTCAGGGCTGTCCCTGAAGACCCTCAGGTAGTATATTCACTGGGAAGTGGAAGACTGCTTGGATGGGGCACATCCCCTGGATCCTGCCTATTATCTCCATTCTCTTGGTGGGGACCACAGGGCGTTCCAAGGCCACTGCTGTGAAAGGTCATGGCTTTGCCCTTATGGTAGCCTGGGTCTGCTTTTGCTACTTCTCGAGTCCCCATTTCAGTCTCACACTGGTGGCGGGTGAAGATGCAGTGCCATTTTTTAATTTGGCACTATTACCCCATGCACCCCCACTGAATCTGCTTACCTCTGTTTCAGGTGATACACTGCGCATGCACGTGGCATTTCTCTTGGCTATGCATGGATCACTCTGCACTTCCTGCCTTCTCCTCTGATGCACTCACCCTACAATCCTCAGGATGTGTACTGGGCTCCCTGGTGCCTCCAGTGACAAAGTCACAGACAGCATGAACCCTTTCTTCTCCTACAAGAATCCCTCACTTACATAGATTACCATGGGGGATCATAAGCGCAAGGACATTAGAAGTTGAGGCTGTGGATGCTGTGGAGGTTGCAAGGCAACTGAGGAGCTATGGAGGCTGCAGGTGCAATAGGGACTCAGGATGCAGGTGCTGCAGGTCCAGTGAATATCAAGCGAGGGTTTAACAGTGACTTTGGTTGTGGGGGCAGCAGAGACCAGGAATGGGTGCAGCAAAGACTATGGCTGCAAGTGCAGCGGTGGCTGGGCTGTAGTAGCTGAGGAGACCAGGCTGGGGTGGACAGTGGCTAGGTTGCAGATGCAGTGGGCACCAGGCTAGGGTGTGACAGATACCAGGATGGGATGCAGCAGGGAAGCAGACTGTAGATGCTGTGGTGCAGCAGACACCAGATGTGGGAGCTGTGGTGCATTGCTTGGCAAAAACAACTTTAGTAGCTCAGAGAGTGTGTATACACTGGGGGAAATCAAATACTGGAACAGTATTTGATTTCTGGAATATATATTGGAATACTGGAATATCAAAATAAAATAAAATCCAGGGAAATTTTTAAATGTCCCCGGGAACATAAAATAAAACTTTTTATTTTATTTTATTACTACTCACCTGATTCTTGGATCCAACAAGTGCAGCCTCCCGTCTCCCACGCTGTTAGAAGTTGCATTCAGCGTGTTCTGGTTACTACTTAAACCGGCGCGCGCAGTGTGCAGCTTCTGAGAAGATACGCTATTAGTGCAGCGGGAGCGATGCAAAATGCACAGCTGCCTTCCCCGCTATGCTAATAGCGTATCTTCCCAAAAGCTGCACACAGCGCGCACAGGTTTAAGTAGTAACCAGCACATGCTGTATGCAGCTTCTAACAGTGTGGGAGATGGGAGGCCACGCTTGTCGGTGGATCCAGGAATCAGGTGAGTATTAGAGAAAAAAAAACTTTTATTTTATGTTCTATTCTTAGTTCTATAATGGCATAACATAGCAGCTAGGGAACTACAAGTCCCAGCATGCCCTCATTGCCCCTGTACAACAACCAGATATTGCCGTTCCCTGGGTGATATGTGTGTGTGTGGGGGGGTGTACAGGGACAATGATGGCATGCTTGGACTTGTAGTTCCTTAGCTGATATATATGTGTGGAGTACAGTTCCAGTGGATGTTTATATAATATGGGGGGGATGCGAAAAAAAATTTCTGCCCCGGGCGCCAATAACTCTGGTTATGCCAC